CACTACTTACTTGGCTGATTTCACATGTTACCAATTTGTACTAGGATGTTGATTAGTCCAAATCACATAAGTCTCTAGTGAGGTTATTAAGAAAAGAGAAAATTAGATGATCTGTCTATATACCGACGTCAAGGCAGTTCTAATGTATGGAGCTGAAACTTGGAGAACTACAACAACCACCATCAAGAAGGTACAAGTATTTATAAATAGCTGTCTTCGCAAAATACTCAACATCCATTGGCCGGATACCATCAGCAACAGCCTTTTGTGGGAGAGAACAAATCAGCTTCCAGCTGGAGAGGAAATTAGGAAAAGACGATGGAAATGGAAAGGACATACACTACGCAAATCGTCAAACTGCATCACGAGGCAAGCCCTAACTTGGAATCCTGAAGGGAAGAGGGAAAAGAGGAAGGTCAACGAACATATTAAGTCGGTAAATAGAAGCATATATGAAAAGGATGAATAGGAACTGGAAGGAGCTGGAAAGGATTGCCCAGGATAGGGTTGGATGGAGAATGCTTGTGAGCGGCCTGTGCTCCTTCACGAGGAGTAACAGGCGTAAGTAAGTAAGTCTATATACCGAATAAGTCGGAGCTATGAAATTATACCAAGAATAGAATACAATGAGTCAATAATATCATATTCACTGTGATAATTAGGAATATCTATGCTTACCATTGTATAGCGTTTTGAGTGCTGTTGAATTTCAAATTAGAACAAAAAGTCTATCCACTATATCACCTATTTAAATGGTTGTCAGAGTGATGATGATTCCTGGTGGAAATCACTTTTAGAGTCATCAAAATGCCTGAAAAATTGTCTAAATAAATTAGACTATTATTTGTTCAAAATGGTCTGAACAAGAAATCCTTATTCCAAAAACCAAATATCTCTATAAAAATCGATGATATTTTTTTAAAAAAAACTGACTCTAGCGTCATTTTAGAGTTGTGAAATTAAATATTTCTCGAAATCTTTACTCGGATCAAATAAGAATGGGTGTTTTATATTACTATATTATATCGCTTTATTGTATGCGTACTGTTAGTCTATTGTCTATATCATAAATGGACGGTTCTTAAGGACATGTCGAAACATTGTGATTATACTCATATAATTTTTCATGCATAGTTATCTATTGAAACGATTAACAAACCCTTCACTTTCGTTTGTCTTTTAAATTGTTAGTGGATAGGTCAAGAACTATTGCAGGCGTAGTAAAAGTTTGGTTGAGTCATAGTTGTGTTGGGTAAATTTTTAGTGTATGCTACCTATATGTGTCGATATAAATAGTATATAACACCAGTCAGAAAAGGAATACCTGGAAGTAAGAGGTTGAGACGATCCAGCTGAAAAGAACAGAAATGTAAACAGAGAATAATTGTGATAACAACAGGAATGAAAGAACGATAAAGTTTTGAATCGACAATTGATGGAAGATGTGCAAATGAAGTATTTAATGTATAGTTTTTTTCAGGTACATCCAACTGACGAGTCCCGAATAGGACGAAACGCGTATTCTCAATTTCTTTGTTAACCACTATCCATCTTTGCTTATAATGCTAGTGACTTAAATCACAGGATGCACATATGCCAATAACAGATTGGCTGATTTCAGTCTGAAACATCAATGGGAAGATTCAAGTAAGCAACAATTGTGGATTGGTTGAAGTCATACCTCACTTCCGTTTGATTCCAGCTTAGTTGTCCAAAGGTTAGGTGTTCGCACTCGAGACCGAAGGTCTTGGGTCCGGGTCCTGTGTGCCGGATCGTAAGTGTGCACTTCTGAAGAGTCCGGTACTACGACGAAACGGCTATCCAATGCTTCTAGGCTTTTAATGGTGATCTAGCATTGATCGGTTCATGATCTCAATTAAAAATCAAACAACCTCTACAACCCTATACTAATAATAATTTATTTATTTAATAAAGTATTATTATTTATTAGCTGGTGCTTTGCATACAATTCACTAATCACAATTATACCAAGTTAATTGTACAACAATGAAATTTTCTTGGCCATATTCAAGATTTTAACTACTTGTATTTGTTAATTTGTAGGATCTTTCACATGATCTGGTAAAAATATTGAATCATCTGTGTTTCGTTTATATATATAAATATAAATAAATAAATAAATAAATAAATAAATAAATAAATAAATATATATATATATATATATATATATATATATATATATATAGGTTGCATCTAAAACATTCAGTTGGTGTTGTTTTACTTGTATCTTCCCGTTGTTATTTAGGACTGTAATTGATCAGTCTCATGTTAGCATATGTGCATCCTGTGAGGATTGCTTCAATAAAGCCTTAAGTCACAAGCTTTTTCAGCAAAGATAGATAGTAGCTAGCAGTGGAATCCAGGATGCGCGTTTTGTCCTATTCTGGACTCATCAGCTGGATGTACCTGCATCTCAGAGTTGATGTTCACTCTGGGACTCGAACCCAGTACCGTTCGCTTCAAACGCCACCGCGTTATCCACTTAGGTAGTGAATCCTGCTAGCCACTGGCTTGTGCAATGAGGTGAAGTTTAAATCCGCATGGTGTTGTTTTACTTGTATCTTATCTTTGTTATTTAGGAATGCAATTGATCAGTCTCATGTTGGCATATGTGCATCCTGTAAACATTAACTCTGCAATGCAGGTACATCCAGCTGACGAATCTCTAATAAGACGAAACGCGCGTTCTGGATTCCACTACTATCCATTATCTATCTTTAATTATACCTAAAACAGTTATAGGATTCTTACTTTCACTCGTTCAATGTATATATTTTTTTTGCTGGGTACTAATAAAAGAAAAAGAAGTAATTCCTATTTAAACTACAGTTTATGGTATTTAATGTTAAAAGATTATTTCGTTAAAGGTTTTTATCTCTATCAGACTTGAATAATTCACATCATCATCTTATTATCTATGGGCAATGAAATGAATGAATAATGTGATGTTATGCATGTTTCCTAGAATGAACTGTACACTTAAATATTGATTAGCACAAAAATGTAATATGTTATTAGCAATGTAAAAAGAAGTTAACTATAGGTTAAATTTAGATGGGATTTTCTTATTTCAATCGATTTATCATTCATCTTTATATATGCACTGAGAGAGACAGAAAGATACATAAGATATGTATATGTATATATCTATATATCTATATGGGTTGTTAGGTAGATATGAATGTACTTATGTTGCTGTTATGTAGGTGTTATTGGGATAAATAACCATAATTGGTTACTTATATATGTTATAATAATAAGTTTTATGTGTGCTGTTAATTCAATAAAATAGTATAGAAAACAAGGTTCAAGAAACTGTCTATATTTTAATCTTTACACAAATACTTCATATCTCATTCATATTTCGATACATTTAGTTGTATAAACATTACTGGGGTAAGTGTTGATTGCATAATATTCTATATGATGATTACTAATTAATATATTTCTTTTTAATATCAGATGGGTTTTGTGGATATTATAGTAGTTTCAATGGTTAAGATCATCAGTCAGTTAAAGCTAGACCACCATGGAAAACCTGGAAGCACTGAATGGCCGTTTCGTCCCATTGTGGGACTCCTCAGAAGTGTGCATCCACGATCCCGCCTCGCGGGATTCGAATCCGGGACCTATAAGTCTCGCGTGTGAGCGCTTACCAACTGAACCACTGAGCTCGTGCGCGAAACCAGTAGGTCTCGGGTTCGAATCTCGTAGAGGGCGAGGTCGTGGATACGCACTGCCGAGGAGTCACATAATAGGACGAAACAGCCGTCCAGTGCTTCCAGGTTTTCCATGGTGGTCTAGCTTCAACTGACTCATGATCTTAACCATTGAAATATTTCTTTTTGTTGTTAAGAATAATTAAATGATCTCAGGTACATATCATAATGAAATGATGAATAGTGGTGTTAAAGAGTATTCCCTATCATAGTACAAAGCATATATTCATCAATCCTTGAGTTTTAAGCAACCTTCAAATCATATACTTATTTTAGCATAGTTTTCTTACTTCAGCATTGAAATTTTAATTAGTGTATACTTATACACCAGTAAGTATATTTCGGATAATTACATGTTGTTGATTTGGCTTAGATAACACTGTTTTGGGAAAGATGTGTAAACTTAGAATATATAGTATTACTAAATTTCTACTGAAGTTGTTGTTATATGACAATTGATTAAATGAACATAGATGATGAATGATTAAATAATGATTAATTCATAGATATACTTACTAGGCGTTTAGTACTTACCAAAAGGATGAAACATAAAAGATACTTGAATTAAGCTTGTATTTTGTGATATGAGAGTGTTATGTTCCACAAGTTGAATGATAAAAAAAAATCAGAAAACCATTCACATTCCTCTAGTCAGACATCTGTTTTGAACTAGACTTCAAAGGAAGATATATGGTAGAAGAAAAATCTATAATGTTGCATTATTATTTGGAAGTTGATATTGACTATTTCATTTGTTATCTAACACGATAAGGAATGCTATTTCAGTGTGGAAATATGATATTATGACGAGTATCCAAATACTTTCCATTAACCGTTAAATTAGCTTTTGAAATTGATAGTGAAGGTTATATGGGTAAATCTTCTAGTAATTTTATGGTGATTATGGAACCACACTTGTTTCTTCCACTTACATCACATAGTTCTATGTAATATATTGGTAGGACAAGTTCATATTATCCGTTGATTTCCACTTAAACTGAAATAGGGTAATTTTTATATTTATAAAGTAAAAATTACTACGAACATTCCACCTCTCTGTCTCTCTCTCACTCTGATGTTCCATGATTTCCATGGATCGATATCATTTCTTTAAAGAAACTATCCATTAATTAGCAAGAAACAATCGTTTAATATATTTCTAAATGTTTATATTGGCTTATTTTTCTTCTTTATTTACAGAATCTTTTTTGTGAAGAAACTTTCGATATTCTGAATACAAGTTTAATCTAGACTTACAAAATGTCAGATGATGAACAGAGGTAAGTGATAAGTAAAGTGAAATCAATCTAACAAATTACATATTCAAATGACATTTTTGTTTTCTTCGTTATCATAAACGGATCTGACTTTTCGGATGGTATAAAGTTTCTTCATCTAGATTGTTTCATAACTAAGGTTTTAATTTTACATTGGATACAAACTTAAAATATAGCTTCATGTGGAAGTAAACCTAATCAATACCATTTATCGTAACTCTAGTTTATACCCAGAACAGGAAAGCCCTGGTGAGTGGCCTATGCTCCTCCACGAGGGGTAACAGGTTTAAGTGAGTAAGTAAGTTTATGCCTTGAAGAAGTATAAGCCTAGTTGTTAGAGATGTAGTTAGGTGAAATTATGTTGAGTTTCTTATTTTTAATGACTGAATATGTGACTGACTTAAAACTCAATTATGAACGATGAAAATCGTTTATATAGAAAACTTTTATCATGTAAAGGTAGATGATTAACTACCAAGCCATTCATTTCATAAATTTAAAACTAGACTTATCTTTATAACACTATATAAATCAATTTCATATAGAATGAAAGTAAATTACTGATAATTACTTTCAATGGTTGTTAGGGTTTTGTAAAAGCTGACTAAACATGGTATTATAATATATTCTAAAGCTAATACAAAACTAAATCCAGAGTTTTTTTAACGGGGCATATTAAACTACCTAAATTTAGTTCATAACAGAAAAGTTTTGTAAATTGCTAAATCATTAGAACTGATATTTTATATTCACTAATGATGCCTACTTTAGTGTATAGTCATAAATGATAGACATAATCAAATTTGAAGAGAAGATTAAAGAATATTAATAGCATTACATGTGTTATGTCTTGCTGATTGGACGCTATATTCGTTCCTAAGCTATTCTGATAACCCGCACGCTATAACTATACAGCGACCTGAACACCAGAAAGAAGACACAAAGTATGAGAGAAACACTTTACTCCAAGGTTCGTTTTTGTACAGAAAGCCGACTCAACAACATGCCATAAAACAGGAATATAGCCGGTAGTTCGTTTACTATTTAGAGGTATTCATTAATTGAAGGAAATCAAATTTATTTAGGGAAGAACTCATTTTGAGAAGATGGTTGAGTATTAGCAAATATTAAATCTAAATGTAAGACTTATGATCGATTGAATTTACTCACCAAACACTAAATCCAGTATAGTACATTGTAGATTGATTTAACATAGAAGGAATGATTGCGATGTGATAGTCAGAATATGATAAGCATTAACATTTAAATAAAAATAAGTTAGTACTTGTTATGTACATGAGGTTAATTATAACCGAAATAAAACAGTGGAGTACAACAAGTATCTGACCTTTAAAGATTTAATGTAAGCACTTTTGAGGCTACAAATGATTAGAGCATAGATAGATTTCAATAAATATTAACTGTAAGACATGAACTTTCTAGAAGCTCTGTTGAACTATTGAAAATCAACTTTTTTTTAAAAACTTTATTCATTAAGCATTTATGTTGATCATTGATTTGTAAACCTTAAGATTATTAACATTGACTATTATAATGTATATGAAGTTAATGATTTATGATGAAGGAAACTATAGGGGACAAAAAAATTAATTAACTGATACCTTTTATCTTGCATCTTAGTTTTTATCCCAAATAATTATTTAGCATTATCCAACGAGAAACTATCTGATCCCTATTACTGATAAGTTTCTATCAAATGAAAAGTTTTGAAGTATTATCAGTAACTACGGTATTGGGTGAAATAGGTTTGAATCTGTAAGGAAGTATCGGGTCTTTTACAATTACCCCGTATTACTTAGTATTTTTATTTGTTAGAAGGTTGAATATATATATGGAAGAAATCAATTGATTTGCCCTTTTTGGCAACGTTTACCATATATTTATTTTAATGTAATTATTTATACATAAACAAAAATTTGTTGATCTCCTGTCACACGTATTACTAGTTAACAACTGTTCATCATCTATCTACTTTTATTATTACTACCATTAGCCCACAACCATCTCCAGCATTCATTCCCAAGTACGTTAAATACTTGATTTTCATCATCTACTACCTATCCCACCCTTTTTTTCTTTATTTCACTTCCCATTAAATGAACAAATATGTGTAAATGTATGTATGTTTATACATGGTGAAAAAAATTTTGGTTGATGAATGTATACCTACCAACAAAAAAAAAGATTCTGTTTAATTATTGTATTAAGTATTCGTGTTAGGTTGTGTTATTTTTTGCCCTGCAACCCAAAACAATCTCTTTCTTCCCATTTAAAAAAGTTCTCCATCTTAAAGCATGCCTATCTGACATGAAAATACCTTGACTTTGTTGAGTAATTTTCTGTTCATTATTGTAAAAGTCTATAAGAAATATCTATTGGTAATGATTAACAAATTGTATCTATCAATATTTTATCGTAGAAAGATTCTTTTCAGAGTTAGTTATTAACACATTCCTGATACATCGTTCAACTTTAGTATATATGGAAACATGAATTAATAATTTATATATGATAAATCATCCATGACATTGGAAGATTTACTATGTATGAGGTTGATTTAAGTCAAGAAAATCATGTCTCATAAAATAAATGATAAAGTCTTGTAGAAGGTCGATTATCTATTGAAAACACCACTTCATAATGATGTAATTTTTATGTTTTATCTAACTAGAATTTATACTTTTATTTTGTTTTTGATCATCTTTTAAGTGACTATCAGTATTTATCTATCTACTATGGATAAGTACTTAGAATAAGCCGTTATTACTTACTTACGCCTGTTACTCCTAATGGAGCATAGGCCGTCGACCAGCATTCTCTAACCCACTCTGTCCTGGGAAGTCGTTATATGAAGAAATTATTATTTCCTAATATTTATTGAAGTAAACAGAAAACTTATTCTATAAATAGATCCAATCGGTGAACTTATGAAATATAGATTCTACACATGTTATCAACATGTTTAAATATCATACTGATTAACTAATTTTGAGTTATATGCAAACAAATATTTCAATTACACTAGTTCCATCATTATTTATTAGTCTATATTAACTCCATTATATTAACGTATTGTATCTTGTATTACCGGGTAATACGAATAAGACTAATGCTTCGTGAATGTTCAATATTATACATGTAAATGAAATTCTATGAAAAGATACCGGATGTTTGTACGAAACGGTGACTATTCCTAATGGAGTAAGAATGATTAACTTATTTTACATAGACAACGTAACGCTAATTTATTTCGTGATTCATACTAAATGAAATATGTGATTTAGGTTTTCTCGGCACTGATAAATTGAAATCACTAACCAATGATACTTTTGATAAACTTGATGAAAAAAAGGTGAACATAACAGTGCATAATAACAGATCGTAATTAATAAACCTACGAATTCTTAACTGGTTTTTGATTAAGAATACATAAGTAATAAGCAGAAATGATTCTTACTTCAGACATTCAAGAGGAAGAATATATTTGTAAAATCTCAGCGAATGAATTTTGAAGTAAATCCAACTTTTCGCCTGGCAATCTGGTTCAAGCTTTGTCAAGGAAATATAATCAAACATCAAAATTATTGAGACTTTACAAATACATTCTTCCTCTTTAATGTCTCACATTAACTCGGCGCCCAAATATTGTGGAACTATTCGATCAAATTTGGGCGAAAGCTCGTATTGATTCTTTCTTAATTAGATGATTCATTTACACCCGCACACACACAATAATTCTGTTTCATCATCAGTAGTTCATGAGTTTTATAAGCCATTTAACATTCGATAACGACAATTAGAAGTCACAAAATCAAGATCATTTATTGAAATAGGATTTCAGTGTTGATAAGTTATTTAACAAGGAAATTAAACATATTTGTTAGAAATTATACAAATGTATACTATATAACAAATTCAATCTAAATATTCTCTTACTAGTAGGGATTCTCTTCTTTTGTAGTCATATCCAATGTTTACATTAGTTACCAAATAATTTAAATATCTAATGGAATTGTAGTGAACAAGAAGACAAGTGAGACAATCAAATGTAATGAAGCACAAATTTACAGAACATCTCACTAAAATCTGAGAATCATATAGTAAATAGTTAATTTGCAAAATATCAGTCCATCGTCTCAGATTTCCATGTTCATGCATTTTCATACCAATTGCTTTTCGTTCCCGTTCTTTCCCTTTCAATCTTCCACTAAAATACATCCTATATCTGACCATCGTTATATACTATTTATGTGGATATAAGTAGCTCACACCACAGAAGAAGTTAATATCATCTTGGTTTTACAGTAACCGTATACAATCTCTTTTATGAAGTAACAATTCAAATACTGATCGATCGAAATCTATCAAAGAACTATTGAAAATGTTTAGAAGAATTAAAATTAAAGTTCATTGATTGAGGATACATTTAAGAATACTAATCTTTATAAAAAAATATTCAGTTAGTTACTATACGAAATAAAATCGGTTTTGAGAAGAAAAAAATTAGTGAGGCTATAATTTATGGATGACCTTTGAGAGTGTCCACCTAATAACTAGGACTAAATAAGGGTTATAAACCTGTGTGTGGAATCAGAATTATAATTTACAGTTGATGATTACGGTTAAGAATAAGATTTAGGGTTTTCATCACGAACTGACATATGCTATAATGACAAAACTCTATTTATCCAAATGGATAAGTGAATTTCGTGGCCAAAATCCGAGACGTGTTATTTTATACGTGATTGGTTCGTCCATAAATTATAGTCACACCCTTAAAGGAACAACACTTTTAAGGAAATGATTTTCTTTACAGAATAATATAATTGTCTTAAAACTCTGTTTAAAATTATTCATCAGGAAGTTCCTTTGAACTTAGTTTCGTAACATGAATTTCTTATAAATGAAACTGTAATGTATTAAATCATTTCAATAGGAATCATTGTATTTGATTTGGTAATGAATTATGAGACAGCAATAATAAAAAAATCTAGTTATTTGTTGAAAGTAGTCTGATATCTCTATGGAAATTTTGAGAATGTTTTGATAATCACTCATTCTTGAAGGTAATTAACTTTCAAATGGTTTTCAACATAGAAGTTAAAGACTAGTCTCTCACTGAATAATATATTATATTATAATCAGACAGGGGTTTTTGTGAAGATTGGAGTAATTTAATAATTGAATTCCTGAGTCAATTTAAGCTAGAACAACATGGAAAACGTGAATGTACTGGACAGACATTTCATCCTAGTATGGGATTCCACAGCAGTGACTGTCTCCAAGAGTTATTTCCTGAAGTTCTATTGAGAAGCCGTGACCAGTGGAGTTCAACCGGGTCTGTTGTGAGATATTAACTCACTTAAGACAATAGTGGACGGTAGAGCACTTTCGTGGCTTGATTGAAGTAAAACATTAGTACAGTTGGATGCCGACCGGCTCAGTGGTCTAGAGGTTCAGCGTTCACACGCGAGACTGATAGGTCCTGTGTTCGAATCTCGCGAGGTGGGATCATAAATCTGTACTGCTGAGGAGTTCCATACTTGAACAAAACGGCCATTCAGTGCTTCCAGGTTTTCCATAGTGGTCTAGTTTCAATTGACTCATAAATTCAATTTTTAAATTATAATTTAAAAGAATTAATAATGATTCCATAGAATTCTAACCTTTTTGGCACAGGAGATAATGATAAACAATATTATCTCAGTTTGTCTATTACAATTTGTTGCTACTTGTGTAATGTTAAAATTTCATTGTATATTTAATAATTGTATTGTTATAATTTGATTTCATAAAATGGTTGGTCTTGTTGTCTTTATTTATTTCCCTTCATCATCAAATGTAGCTGATTTATTGTATTAACCATTGTACCCTATAAAGATTTATATTTACTACAACTAATTTCTTTGACAAACTCATATATGTATATATATGTATATCATAATAATAATTATTATTATTTACGTTTGTATGTTTGTTTAAATGCATCATTCCATTTTAATTCCTCCTATTCCTCTCTCAAATGAATTCGTTATATTATCGGTATGTAGAGATGAAGAGCAGTAAGTTCATGATTATTCTTACTGTACAAAAGCATTTCGAATGTTGAATTTTTGCAAAGAACACTTGAATTAAGAGAGATAATTATATCTTTATATATCTCTCTCTATGCCTACATATATGTATAATCCCTGAAACCACACGTATATATATATATATATATATATATATATATATATATATATATATATATATATATATATATATATATATATATATATGTGTATCGGTTAAGAATATCTCTAATGCACGTTAATAATAATGCTTATCAATTAATGAAATCATTTTACATCGCTGATATTAATTTTTCAACTTTTATTAGTTATATGTATTTGAGCAATTCAAACAAATGAATACACTATTCAATGAAAAATATTATGATTACGTATTTAACATGAACAATGTGCATGTTTTTGTTTCTTTAATAAATGCATGTTCCCATTTTAATGAAAGATCATTGCATGATTTATTTACTATCTTCACTAAAAATTCATTATGATTAAGTAATAGTTATGAGTTACGCAATTGCTAGTATGAAATGTTTCTATTTCTGTTTTATTCACTTTTAAAGAATCATATGGTACAATAATATCATAAAATGAATATTAACTCACGATTGATTGATCACTGGGTGGTGATCAATGTCATATGTATCAAGTCCTTCTTAGTGCAGATTGAATTACCATCGACCAAGTTGTAATGTGGCCACCAGTCTCGGTGACTCGATATTTCGTGCACTATGTTGAGATAAGATGGTGGTTAGAGGTAGTCAACAGGAAACCCTGGACCCAGGTTTCGTGCTACTTGGCACTCGTCAGCAAGGTGTACCTGTAATCTTAAAGGGACTGGTGCTCCCTGACGGATTCGGTCTTGTGTCACTCAGCTTCACAGTTGAAGACGTTACCACTAGGCTATCAGGGCAGTGACCAACCTCCTGTAGGACTGATATATGATCACAATCGATTGATCATTGGGTGGTGATTAATGTCATGTGTGTCAAGTCTTTCATAGTAGCACGAAACTCGAGTCCAGGGTTTCCTATTGACTACCTTCAACCACTATCTAATCTCATAAATATAAATGTTATTGATTTTTAAAAGATAGTGAATAAATATGAAAATCCCTCTACTAACCAGTAAATAATAAAGTTATTATGTATTATCTACTTGACATTTGGTAAAAAATGAAAAACATACTTCTGATATCTTAACTAATTTAAATCTAAGCATAGAAAATAATTATGAGTTAAACTATATTTCATTTTATATGTATACAACTGTCGTTTGATTCAATGAGTAATCTTACTCGGTAAACGTTTCCAAGAAACATTACTCCCTAAGATCATTGACTATTAATTTGATCCGTAAATGAAGGTTCTAGCTCTTTATCGAATATTGTCAAGATCATAGTTCAGATAATTTACAATCTTTTCTTCCTTTTAGCATTTTCTCTTTTATCATAACTAATATGATAGTTGATCATTTAAGTCAATATTGATTTATACCAGTTCCTAGATTGTTTATATCTTCATTATTTATTGATTTAGTTTATTGTGTGTATTATTTTAACGATGATCATGAAAGTGTGTTTCAGTACACAAGACAAGTGGATCTAGAATATCATGGAAATACTTTACAACAATATTCTATTTGCTTTAATCTTTCTTTTTTCTATTGTCCATTATTTAATTCTATGAAACAATGTGTGCTTTTTATTTGTTTATCAATTGCTATACGCATTTTTTGCTTTTTCGAAAAAGAAGAAGAAGAATACTAATATTCATTCTAATGAATAAAAGGCAAACAAACAAGCATAAGGTCTCTTCTTTCCATAAATTAATTGAATAGCATGATGCATGAGATTATTATTATTATTATTATTACTAATTCGTAAGATTTAATCTATTCATTATTTAAGTACATAATTATACAATGAATGAAATATTAATAAACTGGTACTTACTTGTTAATGGGATCATAGATGTTTTAGAAATGTAGCTCACATTTACTGGGATCATCGAGTAAGTAATAGTGTGGTTAGACGGAGCGTAATAGGGAATGATGGTAAATCAGTTGATGAGTTTGTAAGTCAACATCGACTGATATGGTTGGTTCACGTGTTACATATGCCTGAACATTGATTACCAAGAAGAACAATGCTGAATAGTGTTGAAGACAGCTGGAAGTAAGTTAGGGGTGGCCAAAATAACACTTGACATCAGTCCTTGAAGTCAATAACTTCTAGTCTGAGCCATGTTGATAGGTGCAGACTACTTGGTTGGGATCTGTGCGGCCATCGTAACCAATAGTTGGAGACTCTTGGTGACATGGCTCAGAATCGATCACAATGATGTAGGTGTATACACTCTTTATCTTCCCATAAACCGTGAGATTGAAAATGCTTTTTACCTTTCTGCGAACTAATTCTTTCTTCTTGTATTAAATCCTTATACAAAATCTTTCTTTTATATATTACTATCATTAAAGTAACTACTTCTATGAATTTGGTATTCATGTTGTTGTACTAATGAGGTGTGGTAACTTGGACCGATGTATATACGTGCCTGGTGGTACATTGTAGCTGAGTGACTGACTAGGGATTTTTTTGAGATTCTAATTATTTAGTGTAAAATGCTTCATCATGACTTCATATGGTAACCAACCAATTCAGATTGAAAGTAGCTGTTCTTAGTTGAATATACTTATGAACTTATCATTAACTTTTCTTATCTTGTATATCGCTATCAACAAGTTGGTCATAAAAAGCAACAAACATATTTCCTATGCTAATGTTTTAATTATATCTGATAAATTTTAACATCCTATGCATGTATTGTATTGTAAAAGTGGTACAAATATAATTTCAATCGTTTATATTACTTAATCATCTACACTATTTCTATCTATTATTATATAAAATTAAACAAGTTAGTGATTATTAACAAGATTCGTATTCAAATTAAGGAATATAATTATGAGATTTAACAAATACACTATGTAATTTGAGTATGAGTCGTCTTTAAAAACAAAAAGTAGATTGTACCTTCACTTGGTGTTGTTTTACTTCTATCTTCCCGTTGTTATTTAATCTCATGTTGGCACATGTGCATCCCGTGCGGATTGCCTCAATAAAACCTTAAGTCACAAGCTTTTTAAGCAAAGATGGATAGTAGCTAGCAGTAGAAACCAGAACGCACGTTTTGTCCTATTTGGGACTCGTCAGCTGGATGTACTTGTACTGATTAACAAGCATTACATAGAAGTGATTCCTTTTATAATTCATTGATAATATTCTTATATATATATATATATATATATATATATATATATATATATATAGAGAGAGAGAGAGAGAGAGAGAGAGAGAGAGATCCCTAGAATTTGATAATCTATCCCTTTCTAATATTTCTTTTTATTATTTTAGTGAGGATGGAAAATCTGAAGCAAAAATTCGTATGGAAGTAAGTCATAAAATCTTTGCCAAAAAAATAACAAATTAATACATGCCAATTACTCACCTATTTGTTCATTTTTATCTAGATGGAAGCCAAGCGTAGAAAAGAGAGAGCTGAAGAGGAATGGAGAGAATATGAAGAGTTTCGTAGAGGTGAACGTGAAAAAGAAGAAGAAGAGATACGTCAATTAAGAGAACGTCGAGTATGTTTGTTTTATTTATGATTAACTAGTATCTTTAATATAAGAGTTTGTATAGATTGATGAATTTATAGTTTACATTCGCAGTGAATCTTAATTAGATAAGTATTAAAAACCAGAAGCAACTGAACAATTGTTTCATCCTAATATGATACACATAAGTGGTACAATTAACAATCACATTGGGGGTCAACGCCAAGACATTTAAGTCTTGTTAACCTTAATTTTTAGACCATAAAAATGGTATCTAATGTTTGACATGTTCAACTATTATTTGCTATTTCATTTATGTTGTAAGATATATCAGAAATGATTGATGCATTTAGAACAAAGTTAGAATCATACACCTACTTTTTAAATTATATTAAGCTTGGTCTGACTTTATGAGTTAGATAACTATGGATCAGATCTACCAATAAATACTATAAATTAGAATGATTCAGGAAAAATTAAATCAGACATAGGCATTTCATATCTGATTGTAGTATTAAATTATCACTGTTTAAAGGTCACCTTTGGGATACAGGACTTACTAGTGAAGTCCATTAGACTGAATTGAAAATAACATTCTGAAGACATTCATATTATATTTCGCTTTAATGTACCATCCATCATCATGTAACATTATAGTCAGATCTGATCATTAAATTATTTGCACAGATCCTATTCCGTTATAGTTTATCTTGCTCTATTTATAGTATCCAATATAAAGACAATGATTGATTTTCTAAATAGATTAAAGTATACCAATATAAAAATGAATCAATTCATATCTTACATTTTTTGGATTATTACTGAAATAATTATAAAATTTCATATAAATTATTTAAGGAACGACGTAAAATGGAACGTGAAGAAGAAGAAAAACGATTAGCTGAATTACGTCAGATAGAAGATCAAAAAGACGAGCAGAAGAAGTAAGTTTATCCTTCTAGTTTTATTGTCAACTATTTATAATATTGAATTATCGTCTAATCATTTAGTATATGTGTTGGTTAAGCTTGTTTACTTACTCTGATATGTCAATTATGAAATAGTTTTCGTAAGTTAGAGTTTAATAAATAAAGAGTTGTATATCACATACTGTACAATAAACATCTTACTTTCAAAGTTACAGGATGATGCTTAGTTAATCATTTCACGGATGGTAGAGGAAAATATATAAGTCTAAATATATATTACTCACGACCCCGCTCGCGGGACTCGAACACAGGGCCTTCGGCTTCGTGTGCGACAGCTTGACCTATTAGACCACTTGGCCGGTATCCAACGGTGTTAATGTTTAACTTCAATCAATCCACGAAATTGAGCGACCATCTTCCATTGTACTGAGGTAGATATCTGTCTTTACCTGATACGGATTAGTTCCACTGGTCACGGCTTCTCACTAGAAGTTCGAGAATTCCGCTCACGAAGCTAGTCACTAGTTAGCACATGGTCTAGAGGTCAAGCGTTCGCGCACCGGAACGAAGGCCCTGGGTTCAAATCTCGCTGGGCAGGATCATAGATGCGCACTTCTGAGAAGTCCCATACTAGTACTAAACGGCTGTTTAGTGCCTCGAAATATCTAGTTGAAAATTCAAGTATGTTTTAGTTAAAGACAATAATAAGAACACTCAGAGAGAAAAACATTTTAGTTTCATACAAGAGTGTTATAATTAATTTAACATGTAAAGATTATGTTTTACATTTTTAAAAATGTAAAAGGTAATAGTGAATGATAGTGTGAACATGACTTATATTGTTTTTGAAAACAAAAAACAATAGATTAAGATATATCAGAGGATGGTGATTAGAAACCTTACAAGGACATAAGCATAGGCATTTATATACATACAGACATGTATACAAGTACCCTTTCATAGAACATTACACCTACATGAACCTAACATGCACAATTTTTGTGACTGTATATGTATATATATGAAAAGAAAATGAGGCAGATAAGAATAAAAACAAATTTCTTTAAAGTAGGCTGAACAAGTGATGATTGTAAAACGGGAAAAAAGGTAATCAATTTTTGCTTTTTATGGAATGATAATAATAGAACAATCATTGGTAAGAAAGAAATCTAGTGGTTTATTGTTTTATTTTTCAACCTAGTTTCAAGGATGAAAGGGATTTCAATATAATATGATATGGAGAAATTGATTATTTTGATTTTGTTATTCTTCGTTTTGTTTAATTGAGTATTACATTTTGATGGAGTTTTGTTCTATGAGTTGGATAGTTTGGTATTACATGTTTGGTTGTCTATTTTAATAGGAAGAACGACAAAGAAAGAAACGTGAAGAAGAACAACGTAAACGTGAAGAACGTGAACGTAAAAAGAAAGAATGGGAAGAGCGTAAAAATGCTAATCGACCTAATTTCGTTATTACAAAGAAGGAACCAGGTGTAAGTCGTACGGTTATTTATAAGAATTTTAGTACAGTGATAGGTGGATGGTAAGATTAATCAGTCATTTAATGGTCTCAGTTCTTCAATATGTACATAAATTTAGACCATCTCATAGTATTATTTCTTTTATAAACAGTGTTGCCTAAGGTTGAGTATGTTAAACCGTACTTGGTACATATGACGTCTTATGTTATCTATATTAGAACCTGCAACGGAGTGTGATGATTTCGATTGATTCACCATAGAGAACTACATAAAGCAGAAGAAAAGTACTCAATAAATTTAGGCTAATGTAATTTATTTCTGGTCACATTGTTCAATGTATGGAACTGTGGTAAATGCTACATATATTGACAAACGTAAGTGGTATTTAACACCAATCGGAAGTGGAAAACTTGGCAGCAGGAGGCTAAGAAGATCAAGTGAACAGAACAGAAAGGAAAACAAAAAGGAATTATGAACTCAAAGAATCATACAAAATGTGAGGGGGAATGATGGAAATTTCCATTGTCTGATTCTTATATTTTACCAAGATACCATGTATTTCTAGGTATTTAATCAGTTAAAAGTCCAGCATCATTTGTCGTTACAGCGAACGTAAGTAAATTGAACAGTTTACCATCTACTGAAGGACATTATTTCAAAGAATAAACATGGAATTTCTCTGAATCCAGGGCTATTACGTTTTATCTGGGCCTAATGAAGCTTGGTATTGTTATTACCAAGGTTTAGGGATGGCTTACTCACCTCTTAAGTTATTTAGATTGTTGGTGAGGACTAATTATCTGAAAATTTAGAAAACCGTTATTTTTTGTCATCTACTTACTTATCCTCTTTTCACATTAGCAGTTTGGATGTTTATTATCATAAGTACTTTGATACGTTGACTGGATCATTCAAAACCGATATTCTTTGAATTATATCTGTAAAATACAGTACTACCATGAATTTATGCTTCTGTGTTAAGCTTGTTAGCTTGACTAGTATGTTAGCTGACTAATTTCGAATTCGGCTTTATATTTTGATAATTTTGTTGTGTTTTATGGAACTAAACGAACTGTCTGAAGGCCTCACCGTCTGAAATATTAATGATACTAAAAAATAAAAGGTAGTTTTCAAATTGTAAGTAATACTTTTATGCCATAATGTGCGATTTATTCGACTCAGAAAATTGTATAAACTGCGGCCTGCTTGAGCATCTGGGCTACCTGTTCCTGCCATCTAGATATTTCAACAAATTATCTATTTTTGTTTGTTTTAATATATCATTATGTTTATTAATCGCATAACCTATTCTGCTGCGTTTCTGAAAAGTGTACAACCTTTAGTTGTCAAAGTTACAAAAAACTCAATAAGAGACAATGTAGTTGCTGGGAATATACAGCGAAAAGAATGCACATTATTCAGATTTTCATTTACTGAACTGCTAACATCTAACTGGCGATCAGTCAATATTTATCGCCAGGACCGACCAAGAAGAAAGAAACGGAAACTTGTTGAAATACTTTGCGCTGAGAATTCTATATTGTACCAAAAATATAATATTGAATAAAGCTGATGATAATAATAATAATAACTACAATTCAGTCTGTTCGAAATGTGTTCCATTGAGATTACCACTAAATCAGTACACTAAACCGAACTAAATGGACAATTTTAAAATCTCCTCAACCATTTATTTTGTTTCTCCAGATTTTAGCTGAGCCACTAAAAACATGTCTCAACTACATTTTATAGGGTCCACTAAAATGTCGATATTAAGTGATTTTCCAGCAAATTCAAATAGTTTTTTCATAACTTCTACTGTACTTCAGAATATTGTCTCATTGATTATTTAAGGAACGGATAAATGGTAACCAAGGTCACTGGAATTTAGTTTATTAGTTGAAGTAGTGAATTTGATTATCCAGTAATGATTTATAATCCTAGGACACCTGTAGTGAACGAAGACTTGGTTGGTTTAACCAATTGATCGTTTCATGCCAAATTACGGAGTTCTTTTTTAAAACGTGGAAACAATACATTAACTAATTTATTCGCAAATCTTTCATCAACTGTCCTTTACATCCTTCATAATTATTCCACTTCTCAATTCTTTTCTATTTCACTTCCTGTTTTCTTCAGTTTAATCTTCTCAACCTTCTTTTGACAGGCGTTTCACCTCGGATTGGTGTTATGTACTACTTATATCTGTCAACATAAGTAGCATGCATCACACACCTAGTTAGCTAAAGACAGATTTCTGGTACTGTTACACATAACATTATACGTTTATAGCAGAGATTTCTTCCATAGATTTCAAAACGTTCCCCAGTTTCATCCATAAATATTCTCCATAAGTCTGAGTAGTTATTCATTATCTGTCCTAGTTGCATTGAAAATCTTTAATAGTTGGTCCAAAATAGACATTTCTACTACAATTTTTTTCTGGTTAGCGTTTTTAGCGAGTTAGTTTTCTACGAGATGGGGTCGCTAACCCCATGCCCAACCCTCTTCCTTTATTCAGGCTTGGGACCGGGAGTAGCCCCCGGAGGGACTCCAGGCGGAGTTATTTCTACCATACTACTCTTAATTATATTCTTTTCAATACATAAATTGATCTACATGAAATCTTTAATAGAAATTTAATCAATTTTTATTAACATAATTGTAGGCACAAGAAACGGAAGAAGAGAAAAAGGAAGAAGTTACAAAGTCAAAAGAACAGTTGGAAGCTGAAAAACGTGCCATTTTAGAACAACGTATACAGCCACTGAATATTAGTGGTTTTAATGCTGATCAATTAAAGAATAAAGCTAAAGAATTACACGATCTTATCTGTCGATTAGAGGGTGATATTTATGATTTATCACAACGTTTCACAAGACAAAGTTATGATGTAATTCGTTGTGTTTTTTTCTTTAGTAGTACTGAACAACTTATTAATAATTTGTTTCCGATTTGATAAATGTAGGTCATATTCTACATAGTTCATTATTATTCCTCCAGTTGTATGGTATACCATTTTCACTTCATATAGATCATCTATAATAAAAATAACAGGACTAGTTTAATGATTGAGATCTTGAACTGACTGATGTTAGACCATCACTGAGAACCTGGGAGCACTGAACAGCCGTTTCGTCCCATTACGTGACTCATCAGCAGCGGGCATCCACGACCCCACCCACGGGACTCGTACCCAGGACCTTCAGTTTCGCGCTCGAACGCCTAACCTACTAGACTACTGAGCCTGTCGGCATCCAATGGTGTTAATGTCTAACCTCAACTAATCTTCCATCGTACTGAGGTAAATACCTGTCTCTACCCAACACGGATTAGCTTCACTGGTCACGGTTTCTCACTAGAACTCCGAGAATTCCCTTACAAAACTAGTCACTAATGAGCACATGTTAATTATCAGTATAGGGTTGTGGAGATTATTAAGTTATTGATTGAGATCTTGAACCGATTGATGTTAGACCACCATTGAAAACCTGGAAGCACGGGGCTAGTTTAAATTTGTGATCCATACTGAAGGTTAATTTTTCACTCATACACAGCTAATGATTGCAAATATACTTGAAATACTTCTAAAATTTACTGATAATTACAGTTATTATTTTAACACCTTAAAATGTTCAGCTTTTCAGTTAGTTAATGAAGGGACGATGAAGAGGTCAGATAGAAACCTACAGTTGAAATTTATTTGTAATTAATGAATGATTCTTAAGCAAATTTTGGTTATTGTTTTCAATATAGTTACATAAAAACATATACAGTTCCTCTGAGAGGAACATTTGTAAAAAGTGAAGTAACATCCAATGAGATCATTTTCCTGTCATTTACATTAACATTTCTAATTGAGTCGACAAAATCAAAGTAATCAAGAGAGTTGTATCTGCTGATATGATTTTTAACGTGTTGTAAAGTATCAGCTAACCATTTGGCCATCAGGTGATATGGAGAGTTGTTCATATCAAATTTAGGAACTAAACAGATATTATTCTTATAAACTTTTGGAAGTCTATATAGTCTTGGTATAACGGAACCCGACAGTTTAAGATGTTCATAGAGGTCACAATTGATAATAAACTCATCTTGTTTTGGACTTGAACTGAAATCTGTTCCGTTTTTTTCAGTTGCGTTTTTTTGAACGATTTCTTTAGAAAATTTGACATGATCAGACAATATCGATGATTGTTTAGTGACACATAGTCAAGACGATCCATAAGGATATTCCCTGCACCCTTGTCTGGGCGACAAAACACTAAGTCCTAATTTCTCTGAAGATCAGATAATTGAGATTTATGCTCTCTTAATCCCTTTGACTTTGTCGACTCAATTAGAAATTTGGATGTAAATGGCAGGGGAATGAATTCATTGGATGTTAAATTTGGTTATCTTTAATAAAAGTATTAATGTTCTCTGTCAAGGTTGTTATATATTAAGTTCATGTTAGTTTTGCTAAATTGAACACTCCACTAAGAGAAACATTTGTGAGTACAATTGGCAAATGAAGTAAACAAGATTTATTCAGTAAAAATCGATTTTTTAAATTTTTTTCTATTTTCTTAGATGCAAGAATTAGCAGAACGTGCACGTCAAATAAACAAAGGGTAAATCATATTTCCTTTAAGTATACTTGATAATTTTCACAATTTCATTTCTTTTAATATTGAATTGCTTAGAATTTAAGTGATCCATCTGATTTCATTGTTAATACTGAGTTCATTCTTAATTAAAGTGAACTAGTAGGACATAATTTATAACTATAAACCAGTCAGTTTATACTATATGAGACAACTTCACATTTATCAGGTCTTACTTCTTACCAGTCTCTTGATTCGATAATCGAATTGTTCCAGTTATCTCAAATTTGTTAAGTTATTCCTATTCATTCACCTAAAGTTTCCCAATCATTTTATTCTTCAGTGGTTTTTATAGGGATGTATATATATATATATTCGATTTTATATAAATCCATATATACCCACCAAATGTTCTTCTGAATTATTTGTCTTGGTAGATTGTACTACTTTATATTTTGTTAAGTACCAGTGGTTTATTATCACAATTTATCATATCAACTACATTGATTCATGTAATTTACTTTACAGCTTAAAGTGATATGTTTATCTGGATTATAGACATGAAATTCTGTCCTAAATGTTATTCACAGATAGTTTTATTAATGTTAATCCTATTTTTAGGCTTAAACAAATAAAATTAATCATTTAAAAAGAATAGAATCTCATTTAAAATAGATTCTATTCAGAGAGAGGTTTTGTGAATATTATGCGAATTTTATAGTTGAATTCATAAGTCTATTGAAACTAGACAACCATGGAAGACCTGTGAGTACTGGATGGCTGTTTTATCCTTGTGTGGGACTCCTCAGCAGTGCGCAGTGGATTGGTTGAAGTTAGACATTGACACCGTTGGATGCCGACCGGCTCAGTGGTCTAGAGGTTGAGCGCTCGCGCGCGAGACTGATAGGTCCTGTGTTCAAATTTTGCGAGGTGGGATCGTCAATGTGCATTGCTGAGGCGTCCCATACTTGGACAAAACGTCTGTCTAGTGCTTCCAGGTTTTCCATGGTAGTCTAGCTTCAATTGACTCATGAATTCAACTATTAAATTAGAATTGATTAAGACTAGACTTTCCTCAGTTATTAGTATTTTATGTGTGAATTACATTTTTGTAATATTTACAACTATTGATACATGTATTTTGAAATTTTTATAGAGGTAAAGCAAAAGCTATCACCAATGCACCGGATCCATTAGCGGCTAAATTCAGCGGTATTCCTGTAAGTTTTCAATATAAACCACTTTCATTGTCATAATAATCTTCAATCTATATTATCATTTAAATACTATTTCATTTTTTTCTATTTTAAACATCATCTTTAGCCTATGGTTGTTATGTACAGTCAGTATGAACGAGTGAAAGACCCAAGATCATTCAAAGATCGACGCACTGTCTTTACAGGTGCTAATTATGCAGAAGAATATCAACGTATTGCACCTTCACATGTGTTGGTTATGACAGAAGAGGCTTTCAAATAGCCGGAGCCGCTGAAGGTGGAGGACATTCGGCTGCTCCTGCCCCTGCAACTGAAGTTCCTGTTGAATAAATGATTCTATGAACATTAATTATAGTAATACTGCTATCATTGTTATTGTCACCAGTATAATTACCACCAATTATTTCTGATTCTTTTTCATTTCTCTGTCTCCTTCTATTTGTGTTCCTTCTTTTTCGTTTGTTTCAGTGTTACCATATTCACTCAAATGTTTTGAGTTTTTATTTTTATTATGTTACTGAAAAAAGAAACTTACTTATTATCCCTAATGCTTTTAACCAAAACTAACTATGCTACCGCTTTCCTGCCTTACTGATATCATTGATAGCGAGTATGTAATCATTCACTCCTTCTTCTTATGTTTCTTCTTCTTTGCCTTGTCTTCATGAATTCCGATAAATTATCATTAATTATTAAGTCACCTAAAGTACCATTGATTCATTAAAACACCAAATATCTAACCGTCACAACAGAAACTATAAATAAAACTACCCTTATCTTTATTAGACTGTGTAGTTTCTTATTACTATTACTATTATTATTATCATCATTATTACTATTATTATGGCTCCCTCTTCTATGTTGAATAATTTACTTTAAGTAATAAATGGGAACATTCTATGCTACTAGAATTTTTGGAGTACAAATCTATTATTCAAGTGTCTAAAACCTACTAATTAGACCGAACAGTTCGTTTGTTTACATATTGAATCTCAGCAAAGTGATTAGTTTTAGGTTGTATTAAGTTGATAGAATGACTTTCTAGTTAATTCATACCTGAAATAACAAATGAGTCTAATGCTTCATGGTTTGTAAGGGTTCTGTGGTAAATAGAAGTCATAGTGTAATAAAAAGATGTTTTTCATTGGATCATTTCATCAGAAACTGGTTTAAAATACCATCAATCACTATTATCGTGTTTCCATAAGAAATATTCGAATTTTAATAGGACGAAATACTATGTCGTATACTTGAATGAATGGTGCATTACGAAGATATCTGGAGTTATAAAGAGTTACCCATCAATATTTTTATTATTACAAATGATTTTTCATTTGTGAAATCAATCCAATATAATTTGTTGACTGATAACTCACAGGAAACGCTGGGACTAGATCTTTATATGAGATGGAACTTCACAGTGAGGTATATCCTTAGTGAACTAATGATCAATATGGGTTTCTACTACAAGTAACTTAGAGTTGTTAACAAATTTGATACTACTAGAAATCAAATGAACTTCTTTACGGTTAAAATCACTTGATAATAACAAATACTATGTCCATATCTTAGATTTGATCAAGTTCTATCTAATTTCACTGTGACTGTAGATCTATGCGAATCATAATTGTGATACACTTCTTTTGAGAAAAATAAGTAACTGATTTGTTATAATTAGTACAAAACTAAGTCACAGAGATTCTTTTCAATCACCTGGAACCATTTACCACTAAAAAATGCATATAGATATTAGGTCACTTAAAATGATAGATTCAATAAGGCTTTACAGTATGAATTAATTTGTAGATGATATTCATTACTAGTAAATCTTGTATGGGGGACCATGAAAAACTAGTATACGATGGGTAGCTAATTCATCTTAATATAGAACTCTTCACTAGTAAACACTAGAGACTAGACAACATGATGTAAGGTACAACTAAATGATCAATCAGGTTATCAGTTAATGGCCATTTCTAGTAGAACATTGGAATATGTAGTCTAAAGCGTTCAGTTAACTTGACAATAACTTGAATTTTGATCTATTTTGGTTAGACTAAATAATTTTTATTTAAATTATTCCTTATGAAGCTGAATATTTCACGCATGATTGTTGATTCTCTAAATAATTAATGTAAAAACTAAATTTGAATTGTGGCGTATGCTACTTATTGTCTACATAAGTAGTATATAACACCGATCAGACGTGGAATGCCTGATAGAAGAAGGTTGGGAAGATCGAAGAGAAGAGAACAAGACACAAAGAATAGTTGTTATGGTGATGGAGGAATAATTCAGTTTGAGACAATTTATGGAAGATTTGCGAATGAAACATTGAATGTATCGTTTTCATATTTTACCAAAGAACTTTAATTTTGTATTTAAAAAAATTGATTGCTCCTCGCTTATTTTGTCGTTCATTATAGAACCATTTTGGTTATCGTATATTTTAATTCGGTTTTGACGATGTTAAATGTAATTGGGAGAAACGTTATTGTCTGCCCCAAATGCTCTGGTATGGCCGAGAGTGGGGTGGGCCCGCCCTCCCTCTCGAAACGCCTCTCACGTGGTCACGCGTATATAGCCTCCGCCAGGGAAGTCCTACTCACTGCCTTCTCGTGGCGTGGGTGTTATTTACGAAAATGAGAGGACTAAAAGCGAATGTCCGGCGCTTTAACCGGATCCCAAACTAATGGTGCACATGGGCTCCAGTATCCTGAGGGAACAAATGGCGTATGAACCAATCGTTAGTCACCGGCCACCATGGGACTGCATCTCCTTACGATGCTCCACTGCCTTGTGGTCAGACCTTTAGGTCGAAGGCTCGGGGTGTGGTCCCCTAAGATAACCATCTGTTTCGGTCTGGGCACCCGGGCAGTATCACAGCCCACACACACACAATATTGTGGCGCATATATTTGGTGCCCTCTTGTACCAATATTTATGTGTTCAAATAAATGAAAATAAATAATAATAAACTATATATACCTTGAAATAATTTATTTCTTGTGTTAGCAACAAATGTCCACCTATGAAAAACAAAACAAACCAAATATTGTATTAAACCAACGCGCACACACACACAAACATTCATTATAAAACGTAAAATGTGACCAGGACAACTGATACCTAGGTAGATAAAAAAAACCATGAATTATATGAAGACTGAACGTGAATAGTGATCTTAATTCTATTGATGATGAATTGTTTTCAGAGTAATAACTTAGTTCGAAATGGTAAGAAAGAAGTATCTTTTGAAAATAAAATATATAGACACATATGTTGCTGTTTTAATGGGATAACTTTTACAGAATCTTTTTTTATTGAGATCATGAACCGATTGATGTTAGACCACCACTGGAAACCTGGAAGCATTGGATGACCGTTCCGTCCTATTGTGGGACTCCTCAGCAGTGCACATCCACGGTCCCGCCCGCAGGATCCGAACCCAGGGCCTTCAGTCTCGCGCGCGAATGCTTTACCTACTAGACCACTGGGCCGTTCGGCATCCAATGGTGTTAATGTCTAACCTCAATCAATCTACGAAGTTGCGTGACCATTAAATAGTATACCGAAAAAATATATGGGGCAACCAAGAGAGTGAAGAAAAGTATTCGAACCGACAAGGAGAAACACGTGGAAGACGTAACAATGATGGCTGAAAAAATTGCAAGAGAAAGAAATGTGAGACAATATTATGATACAACAAAGGAACTAGCAGGGGAATGTAGTAAACCCGAGCGATTAGCCAATAACAGAGAAGTCAAGCCAATCATTGAGATTCAAGAACAGCGGAACAATTAGGTAGAACACTTTAAAAAACTCTTGAATAGACTAGCTTAACTCAGGGTACCAGACATCGAAACAGCACCTTAAGACCTTCCTATAGATGTCAGTCCAACAACGATCGAAGAAATTTCCATGACCACTAGATAAGATGCTCCACGTTCCGTTCAGAAAGATTTGGGTGAAAGAACAAATGCCAAAAGAGTGAAAAGAAAAATATAAAATCAAGATACAAAAAAAGATTTCATCAAGTGTGAAAACCATATAGGCATGATCTCATCATCTGGAAGCTGGTTTGTCCCCTCCTACAGTAGGCTGTTGCCCATGGTATCCGGCCAACGGACATTCAATATCTTGCAGACTTTGAAGGTAAACATTTACAAATGCAGACTACATTTGTGAATGGATTCTAAATTAATTTTAACGTGATATAAGTATTTGGACCAACTGATATAGTCAGATGAGAATTGAGGCTGACAAATAAACTATAATTTTATGGACTAGTGAACTAAACTAAGCTTGATGACATTTATCTTGCTTAATATTAAGTATGATTTGTTTAAAAAACTACTCTATTAGTCAACCGGTGATTCTACTTTATGAAAGTATTCAGTCCTTTGTAACCTAGAAGTTACTTATTTTTTAACGGAAGAGTAGGCTTAATATGAAGCTCAAAGGTGATTGAAGGGCTAGAAATTCAGGAACATGTATTGGGGTTCACTAACACCAGTATTTTTATGATTGTTAAAGTTACTACAACAAAATTTATTTTTGTTACCTTCTTAACTTGAATATTATTGTGACTAGAATGTGTTAATTACATTTCATGTATAAGTATTCCTATAATAACCCCCTTAGTAAGTTAAATTTTCTTACTTTTTATTCGATTGCAGTTATCATCATTGAAGTATTGTTGTGCACGATTCATTGATTTGTCTAGTTATGTTAAATCCAATATAATATGTGAACTATTTCCGACCAGTGTTTTGTGTACTTCGGCTTTCGTAAATTGTAACAGTATGTTCACTGCTGAACAAAATGTTTCATTTTATCCCTTAAAGGAAGAAAAATGGGGATTAAACTAGTCATCATATCGGATTTTAATTTTTTCACCCTAATAAACGTAACACATATCGGACAATAAAAATCAAATCATTATGAAGTACTGTCCTTAAAATCATTCAAGTGACCGAAATGATGATGAGGGCAAGTTAATTTAATATTCGTACCATAAATAGTTTCTCGGTACAGAACAGAACTACACAAGTTGAAGGATGTTAAAGATTTCATTGAAATCAATACCGCATTCGGAACTAAACTGCATCTAGCATGACTTTGGAATACATCTAAGAGGATAACATGTATATCTTTCAGCAGTCGGTACATCTGATTAGTGAAATAGTCCTATAGAACTAAATTAATAAATGTACAACACTTTCATAATAATTCTATGTAAGAGAGTTCGTACGTAGGATG